AAAGAAAGAAAGAAAGAAAGAAAGAAAGAAAGAAAAAGAGAGAGAGAGATAGCAATAGCAGTTAGACTTATATACTGCTTCATAGGGCTTTCAGCCCTCTCTAAGCGGTTTACAGAGTCAGCATATCGCCCCCAACAACAATCCGGGTCCTCATTTTACCCACCTTGGAAGGATGGAAGGCTGAGTCAACCCTGAGCCGGTGAGATTTGAACCGCTGAACTGCTGAACTAGCAGTCAGCTGAAGTGGCCTGCAGTACTGCACTCTACCCACTGCACCACCTCGGCTCACATATCCATATATTACATTATATCATGCTACCATATATACCATGGGGTAGATTACTTCTATATCATCTGATTACATAATACAACCTGTCACGTGATGTGCAATGTAACTGCTTCGGCTTATCTATACATGCTTAATACTGCAATACTGTTAACATTTTAGATACTAAAATATTTCTCCAAAGGATGTTCATCCAAATATGGTTGATTCACGAGAAATCCAAGTGTCGAAAGATATTATATCTCAGTAAGTTGCCTCAAGGTACTAAAATATCTGTACTGAATACAGACAGTCCTCAGCTTATGACGCTTCGTTTAGCTTCTGTTCAAAGTTACAGTGGAACTAAAAACTGAAAAAAAGTGACTTACAACCCCAAGTCCTTGTTCTTACAACTATAGCAGCATCCCCGCAGCCACGTGATCAAAATTTGAGCACTTGTATTTATAATGTTTGCAGGATAGCGGGATCATGTGACTGCTATCTTCCCAGCCAGCTTCTGATGAGCTAAATCAATTGGGAAAGCCAGATTCATTTTACAATTGCACAATTAAATTAGCGACTGTGTGATTTGCTTAACAACCATGGCTAAAAAGGTAAAATTGAGTACGATTCACTTATTAACTGCCTTAGTTAGCAATGGAAATTCTGGGGCCAATTCAGAGGTGGTATTCTGCGAGTTCTTCCTGGTTCGGGCAAACCGATAGTGGCGGCAGCAGGAGGCTCCACCCACCCACCCAGATGTCATCACAGACACAGTCCGCACATGCGCAGAAGCGCCGCACGTGAGCGAGCGCTCCCGGTTTCATGCCTGGCCCAAATGTGGTCGTAGGAAAAGGACTAACTGTTCCTGACAGATGGCTCATTTATTCCAAGTGCTCTAGAAAGAAGGCTCATACCACATAATAGGGCCAAACATTAATACTGCCCGACAATATTGTGCCAAGTGCTGGGCTTGCTGGAAGGACAGGTGATAGGTAGAAACACCTGCTTGGGGATTGATAAGGTTACCTGGAATACACATTTGGGGAACGTCTTGACTATAGAAGGAAGTCTTAGGGTTTCTGAAAGCTGTTCGGGAAACAGCCACAACGGACTGGTGTGTATTAGGGCAATGCCTGGTCACAGCCACAATATCTTCATCAACTTGGTCTACGAAGACCTAAAAATGTATTTTGAGAAAAAAATAAATAAGATGATGGATATATTTTAAATTAATACTACTCATATTGCAATTCTCATTTAGGGCATCTTAGGGCAAGTGTCACAATTTTTAGAATCTATGAACAAGAGGTCATTGAAAGAGAGAAAGTTAGTGAGATTACCCAATCAGAAGAAATATTCATATACTTGGGTTAATCAGTAACCTCATTTTGGATTTTAACTTTAAACGAACATTTAGAATCTCATTCCTTTTAACCAAGATCATAAGAATTCTCTTTCATATAACTTGTTCCTAGTCATGGAAAAGCCAGTTACAGGCTTTCAAATAAATAAAATAATCATAATTCATTCAACGTTAATAATCTATTTCTTGATTTTCTTTCCTCGTAGCTGGAAAAAAAAAATGGCAAAACAAAAAAACAAATAAATGAGGATTCTGGTTTCTAGTCATGATTACAATAAGTGAATCAGTACTGTTTACTGTTTACTGTTTATTAGGATTTGTATGCCGCCCACTCTCGAGAGACTCAGGGCGGCTTATAGATAAACAGGGAGAGGGAACATATAGAAATTAAAAAGAACAGACATTAAAAAATTACACAACATTCATGTAGCTTAGGATGGGGCTGGATGAAATCAAATCAGCCCCAGGCCTGCTGGAACAGCCAGGTCTTAATCGCTTTGCAGAAGGCCGGGAGAGTAGTAAGGGTCCGGATCTCCACGGGGAGATCATTCCATAGGGCCGGAGCNGAGAGAGAACTAACCTGTATATGTTCTCGGAGTTCAACTGTATACTCAGGCAACCCATTGATTGTATGGTCATCCTTTTTATAAGGATCTGCACTTCTCTCTACAGTCCTAGCTTCAAGAACTACTTCTTCAATTTTACCTATAGGAACAGTAAGAAAAAAGCAGCTATTATGCCAACTCCAAGTCAAGAACGGAGCTAAGGATTGAAGATCATATGAATCCTATTGTATGCTATTTGGCATACATTGATATCTAGCAATGGCAACTTCACAGTGCTTTATAGCCCTCTCTAAGCAGTTTACAAAGTCAGTGTATTGCCCATAATAATCTGGGTCCTCATTTTACTGACCTCGGAAGGATGGAATGCTAAGTCAACCTTGAACCGGTCAGGCTGTGGGCAAGTTAGCTTGCAATATTGTATTCCAACCACTGTGCCACCAAGGCTCTAAGTACAAAACAATATTTATTTTTCTAATGTCACTATTGTTGTTCTTATCCTCCTTTACATTCATTCTATGTTCAAAATATGTACAGGGAGTCGTCGATTTACAATAGTTCAATGAATGACCAAAGTTACAGCAGCACTTATGACCATTTTTCACACTTATGACCTTTGCAGCATCCCCATGCTCATGTGATTGGCATTCAAATGTTTGACAACTGCCTCATATTTAATAAAGTTGCAGTGTCCTGGGGTCCTGTGATCACCTTGTCAAACCTTCTGACAAGCAAAGGCAATGTGGAATCCAGATTCACTTAATAACCATGTTGCTAATGTCACAACTGGGGTGATTCACTTAACAAACATGGCAAGAAAAATCATAAAATGGGGCAAAACTCACTTAACAAATTTCTCACTTAGAAATGTGACTTTTGGGCTCAATTGTGGCCGTAAGTCATGGACTATATGCATTCATTTCAACTATGCTGAAATAGTATCAACTTACCTTTAACAAGCAGCAGTAGAAGTATTTAAAATCATTAATCATTTTAAATTGGACTATAAATAATTTATACTCTGAAATCATTAGAGTATAAATAAGGAACGATTTTATTTTAAGCTATCTAAAAGGTCCATCTTCCCTTAAACTTTCAGAGATATAGCAGTTAGACTTATATACCGCTTCATAGGGCTTTCAGCCCTCTCTAAGCGGTTTACAGAGTCAGCATATCGCCCCCAACAACAATCCGGGTCCTCATTTTACCCACCTTGGAAGGATGGAAGGCTGAGTCAACCTTGAGCCGGTGAGAGCTGAAGTAGCCTGCA